ATAGATAGATAGATAGATAGATAGATAGATAGATAGATAGATAGATATGGTATTTTTAAAACTTTGACTTGGATTTTGAATTGAATTTGGATTACAATATTTGAGGGGCTGCCACAAGGAAGAGGGGTCAACCCATTCTCCAAAGTACTTAAAGGCAGGACGAGAAGCAATGAATGGAAACTAATGAGGGAGAGAAGTAACCCACAACTAAGGAGAAATTTCCTGATAATGAAAATGGAATGGCTTGCCTTCAGATGTTGTGGATGCTCCATCACTGGAGGTGTTTAAGAAGAGACTGGACAGCCACTTGTCTGGAATGGTATAGGGTCTCCTGCTTGAGCAGGGGGGTGGACTAGAAGACCTCCAAGGTGCCTTCCAACTCCCTTATTCTGGATTTTCCTTAAAGCGTTTGTCATAAAATATTAAATGTAATGTCTTTTGGTTGCTTTTGTCATTGTGTTTGCAGAGCTTGGAGACCTTAAAGAGCTACAGACGCTGGACATCTCAACCAATCATTTGATAACCTTGCCTGAAAAGCTGCACATGTGCCTCTCTCTTCAGTACCTCACTGCTGACCAGAATCATCTCTGGTATGTCCCTCGCCATCTTTGCCAGCTTCCCAGCCTCAATGAGTTGTCCATGGCGGGAAACCAGCTTGCATTCTTGCCTCTTGGTGAGTGCTGCTTTGGCTGTTGGGGAATTGAGTTGTAAAATATATGGGCAGAGGGACTAGCTACGAAAGGGGACTAATGAGATCATTTTCATATTAGAAAACAAAAAGTATCTGATAGATAACTAATCAAAGTCTTCCAGTTTTACATAGTTTGGGTTTATGCATTATGCTAAACCAAAGTTTCCTTATATGAACCCAACAATTCGATGGGCTAATGTTGAGGATACAACCCGCACTCTATGGCTGAATCCTCAGATCAGGTTAAACAAAACAGGGGAAAAAAACCAGAAAAATTACTCTCCATTAGCTGATTTTTAATGAGCTGTTAGCTTAACCCAAGTTCACCGTTTGCCAGTTTCACTGAGAATGCCACTTTTGAGATGTGGTTTTCAGCCTTTCAGGGTGCCTCCTACATCCTTACACCAATGATAAGCAATATCGGTTCTTAGCTTCTCACTTTATGCAAATAAACCCAACGAATATTACTGATAAACTGGTGTCTGTGGCATAGCAAGCTGTGAGAATCTAACCGGTACTTTATATTCAATACAGCAGGGTTTAACAAATAGGAATTTTCTAAAGATTAGGGACTGTAGATTTTTCCCACAACCAGGTGGTTTTATGACACTTGAAGGATCTGAAATCACAGGATGAAATTCCAACCTAGAACTAAGGAGAAATTTCCTAACAGTGAGAACAATCAGCCAGTGGAACTACTTGCCTCCAGAAGTTGTGAATGCTCCAACACTAGAAGTTTTTGAGAAGAGATTGGACAACCATTTGTCTGAAATGGTATAAGGTCTCCTGCTTGAGCAGGGGGTTGGACTAGAAGACCTCCAAGGTCCCGTCCAGCTCTGTTATTCTGTTAAATAAAGCTGAATTTGTGTGGCCTGCTTCCCAGAAGTTAAAGATGATAAGGAAGAGGAAAGCTTATATGAAGAAAGTGTTTCTATTTTCACCTCTTCACACACAGACACACACACACACAGGCAGCTCAAGAAATTCTGCTGAAATTCAGTGTATAACAGAATTGGGCAGCATCATTTCTATAAGTCCTAATGGTCACTTTAAGGTGGGAATTCGAGTGCTTTTTCCTACAATATGCCTCCCTTACTTTCGCCCTCATTTTGGAGGAAAAGCAAAGCAAAACAGAAAAACCAGAATCACAGCATCAAGAATCTGGCCAGTTTGCTGCCAAATTTTAGCAGCGTGTTCTTGGAAAGCTCTGTGACTGCAAATGTGCTAAGGACCACCTGCAGCTTTTGCAGTCGCCCACCCTAGTTTAAGATATTGCTATGCCAGCCCATATGTTTTGAGGATGAGTGTGTATTAATTCTCTTCCTTTAAAAAAAAAAAACCATGCACACATAAAACGAACCTTTGCATTTGTTAACTTCGCTTCCTTTACTGTCTCTGGACACATAGATTTTCTACTTTCACAGTAGGTTAAAAAATTTTAAAAAGCCAAGCAGACACATAAGACCATTTGTTCCATGTTCGGCCACGTGGAATGCAGATGCCTTCAGGACAATTTTTTTTTAAAGTATAGTTGAATTGGGGTTTGTTTAGGATTCATGGAGTTTGTCCAAGTAGAAAGTCTTTGATCTCCCACACTAAGAGGAGAAAAACGGAAATGTTGTAGACAAACTTGTACTGCTTTTTTTTTTTTTAAAAAAAGCCACATGCAAACTTCCTTTTGTGACTTCAGATGCTACCTTCCTTCTTCTACAAAGTCTGAAAGGAACATGTTTAGGAAAAGGGTTTTTTTTTTTAGTGTTTCTCACATGATTATACAATCACAGGGCTGGAAGGGACCTAAAAGGTCAACTCCCTGCTTAAGGGAGTATACTATCCCAGACAAATCTCTTCTTGAAAACCTGTAGTGGTGGAGCACCCACAAACTCCAGGAGGCAAGCTATGCCATTGATTAACTATCCTCATGATCAAAAAATTTCTCCTTGCTTCTAGGTTGATCTCTCTTGCATATTCTTCCACTCACGACTTCTTGTCCTGCCCTCTGGTGCTTTGGAGGCTGGGTCCATCTCTTCTCTGCCCTCAAGTATTGGAAGACAGTTATCCTGTCCTCTCTAATTCTTCTGTTTGATAGGCTAGACCAGTGATGGCGAACCTATGGCACATGTGCCAGAGGTAGCCCATAGAGCCCTCTCAGTGGGCATGCACACCATCACCAGCTGCTCTCCTGGTTTCTGGAACGCCGGCCAGCTGGTCTTTGCGGGCGCCAGAGCTCCAGAAAAATGGCCCCAAAACACACTGTTCTCAGGCCATTTTGGGGGGCATTTTTAAGGCTGTTTTGGGCATGAAAACAAAAATAGCCCAGAAAACGGCCCAGAAATGACCAAAAACCAGTCCATTTTCCAGGCTGTTTTCAGGCCATTCTTCACACCAAAAATGGTCTGCAAACGGCCCGGAAAATAGCCTGAAAACTGCCTGGAAAATGGACTGGTTTTTGATCATTTTTGGGCTGTTTTCTGGGCCATTTTTCATGCCAAAAATGGCCTGAAAAGCAGCCTGAAAATGGCCCGAAAAACGGCCTGAAAACGGCCCGAGAACAGTGTGTTTTCTGGCTGTTTTTCTGGTTGTTTTCTGGTGCTCTGGCACCCGCAAAGACCAGCCTGCCAAAGTGCCAGAAACCAGAAGAGCAGCTGGTGATGGTGTGCATGCCCACTGAGAGGGCTCTACGTGCCACCTCTGGTACACATGCCAAAGGTTCGCCATCACTGAGCTAGACCTACCTAGCTCCCTCAACCATTCGTCCTACAGTGCATTTTCCCGATCTTTTATCATCTTCGTTGCAGAAGTTTAAAGCTTTAAGGAGAAGAGCCACAAGAGCACTGCTGAGATTGAACATTTCTAACATTGAGGTAGTCTTTTTGTGATTTGGCTCGGCTTCTCTTGGCTCAGCTTTTAAGTCATGGGGGAGTTTTCATGAGAAAGGAACAAGCGAAGACACAATGGATGTGTTGATACTACAGATATGTACAGTATACCATGGTTCTCAGCGGCTGAAAGACTGAAAGAAGGACCATCGGGGGGGGGAAAAACCCAGCTATTTGTTGTTTATTTTTAAAATGGGTTTAGGCTACCGTTTCACAGCTTAGGGAACATTTTTAGAAATCTTGTAACACTTGAAAGTTTTAATGGCAAAATTAAATTTATGCCAACCCTAAAATACTAGCTTAGAAAGAAATAAAAACGCAGCTTCAGTTAGGGAGGTACATCGCAACTTTGCAAATTAAGTTCTGATGAACTTCCAAGGCTTTTGATTTCCCATCTGTTTCACTTAACAACCGTGTCATTAACTTAACAGCTGTGGTGATTCACTTAACAACCATGGGAAGAATGGCCAAAATGGGGCAAACTTCATTTAACAACTTAGCCACGGAAATTTTGGACTCCCTTGTGGTCGTAAGTGGAGGACTGTCTGTACTTTTTTGGCTGGTCTCAGTGAAGCAAACTGCATCTCCTGGAGCTAAGAAAAAAACAACGTTGTAAATCAAATTGTTTCGTCTCATTCACAGGTTCATGCACGCACAAACACACAACGAGAAATGCAGAGGAGTGTTCTTTTATTCTTAGTTATGTCATTGTTTTTCTTGGAATGAAACAGCCCTCTTAGTCTTGGCAGCCTTCTTGAAAAAAAAAAAATCACATAAGAAAATTGGAACTCTGCATTGTTCTTTTCCCAGCCATTTAATGAGACTTCTGTTATTGCTTGCGAAAGAAGCTATTTGCATATATTCCCAGACAGAAACGTGGAAATTAGGGGATAATTTTCATTGCAGAACCTGTCTGGGTATTATACGGTTTCCATTTATATAATAAAAGGGTTTTTCTAGTGTGCTCAGGTGGTAGGCATGTTCCCTGACACACCAGGAAGGTGTGTGTATGTGTGTCTGTTTAAACGTGTCTGTCAGGAAGGTAATTACTAATTTTCTTTTTAATGTTTCTTAAATCCAGATTTAGGTCGTTCCCGGGAACTGCAGTATGTTTATGTGGATAACAACGCTCACCTTAAAGGTCTCCCTTCTTACCTTTATAACAAAGTCATTGGTTGTAATGGGTAGGTACTCAAATTTAAATTAAGCCTATAATATAAATTGCCATGGATCCTTTTATCTTGTAAATCTTTTTCATAAACTTTATGTTGGATTATTATTTAATCTGTTGAATGACAATCCTATGCTTTAAAGGAATTTCCCTGTAATGGCTGCTCCATTGTATTAAATCTCTTACATTAATTTTCTCCCTATTAAATGCTTATATAGCCCTGCCTCCTGTGCTGTTTCTTGATCTTCTAAGAACAATTCAGGGGGAAATGTTGAACTTGAGACTTACTATGAGTAAAATAGAAGTATTGACATTTTTCCATACATATTTTGTGGTAACATTATTTACGTGTGTGCTTTGCAACATATAGTACTATAGATGTGTAAAGGTCATGTATGATATTGATAAGTCCCTAAAATGGCACCTTCCAGATCCAATAGAAGAGAAATCTCTGTAGCTCAAGGTTGAACGACAGAGTCCTTGGTGCTCCCTGAGCATAGCTGTCTACTTGAAAGTGTTTTATCACCCAACTAAGTAACATCATCAGTGCTAGAAGGGAATGGGATTTGTGGAAAGGAAGAGGATGATTTTGGGATTCTGGGTACTCTCTGAGCTTGGCTATCTGCTTGCAGAAATTTCATTATCCAACTAAGTAACATCAGGGATGGGATCTGACCGGTGTAACTACCGGTTCGGTGATTTACATTTTGCATGCTGTGCGCGTGTGAAACATCATCAGCTTGCAGCCTGGACAGCTAAGCAGCGCTGAGCACGGGTGTACAGCATTTGAAAAAGCACTTTTTTCCTGCTTTTTCAATCGCAGCTATGCCGCGCAAAGCAGCTGAGGTTGAAAAAGCAGGTAAATAAAGGTCAGGTAAGAGTCCAGGAGGGTGGGTGGGCCAAAACAGCAGCAGACATAGAACCGGTAGAACCCAACCCTAAGTAACATCATCAGTGCTGGAAGAGGGTGGGCTTTGCTCTCTTTTTATACAGTATACAAGTGGCTTACCCCTTCAGTCTGTGGAGATTCTCAATCATTCAGATCCTGGTTGTCCCAAAGGTGTTTTGTTTTTGTTTTTTCCAAAAGGCAACTGGACTTTCTTGTTTTGTTTTGTTTTTCTTTGAAAATGTTTGGCTTCTCATCCAAGAAGCTTCTTCATCTCTAACTTACTGGTGCGGAAGGATTTATATTCTTTGCAGTCATCTGGTCCGTAGTTCTTTGAAAGTCATTGAGGCCACTTGGGGGGTTTATCTGTATCCTCCAGATTCACCTGAATTAGTGTAGGAACAGGTATGGAACCTTTTTGGGACTGCTGAAAGGACTGTGTTGTCAACAGGAGATAGGTGCTATTGCATCCTTCTTCTCTGTTGAGCGAGGGGGGACTGTTCAGTCTTAACCCAGATGGCCTCTTTGACTTCACTTTGGAAGACTGCAGAGTTCACATTCTGAACAGAGAGAAACACTGGTTGGTTGCTCATGAGCCATGGTAGCACAGTGGTTAAAATGCAGTACTGCAGGCTACTTCTGCTGACTGCCAGCTGCCTGCAGTTTGGCAGTTCGATCCTGACCGGCTCAAAGTAGACTCAGTCTTCCATCCTTCCGAGGTTAGTAAAGTGAGGACCCAGATTGTTGCTTAGAGAGGGCTGTAAAAGCACGTGTGAAGATGACCCAAGGTGGGATATAAAATAAACACAGTAAAAAAAAACAGAGGTGAAGCCCCTTTTATTCCTTCACTTTTCTTCAAAGCTCCAAATATCCTTGACTGGAGACAACTCCCCCACAAACAAATACGAAAAGGAGGAAATGCTGTTTAAACTAAAAATGCCTATAAATTATAAAGAGTAAAAACAACACAAACCACACTGAAGCAATTAAGGGAACCAGGCAAGGTAAGGGCTTAAAGATGTCCACAGATATCGGAACACACACTGGGAGGATGCCAAACTCAGAGAGGAACGACAGACTAAAAATATTTCCACGCTTTGTTTCCAGCACTGGCCCATAAGCATGTCTGTCCTTTTAACCAGTTCTCACAGCTGCAGCCCATAAAGAGGATCAAGGCCCTTTCCTCCCCCGTAGACCATGCCATTCACGTCTCTCCCTTATCCTCTCCTCCCTATGTGCCCTAGGATGGAGAGGGGATGGGCCTGGGTCTTCCTCTGACTGCCCAGCCGGCCTCTGCCCTTCCCCAGCCTCCTCCACAACCTCCAGAGCCACACTTCCACTTCCTGTCGGCTGTTCCTCTTCTCCCTCAGAATCAGTCTCCAACAGGGGCATGACAGCACAGTGAAGCTGTATATAAGTCTAAATGCTGTTTAGAGCTAAGTGCTATTTTGCTTTTTCATTTGAGCAAGGTTGACTCAGCCTTCCATCCTTCCAAGGTCGGTAAAATGAGGATCCAGATTGTTGGAGGCAAGTTGCTGATTCTGTAAAACTGCCTAGAGAGGGCTGTAAAGCACTGTGAAGCGGTATGTAAGTCTTAAGTGCTGTTGCTATTTTCATTTGAGCATTTAAGGTGACTCTGATGGCAAACAACCAAGCTCAGCACCAAGAACTTCACACTTTCCGGATCTTTTAGAATACAGTTCCCAACGTTCCCAGTGGCATTCTGCAATGGGGAAGACAGTTTAGCACATCTGGAGGACGGTTCCAGCTTTCTTTCTGCCTCCGAAAAGGTGCATTGGATACCTCTTGATTGCTTTTCATATTAAGATGGCAATTTTGTAGCAAAATGTATTCCCTCAGCAAACAGAATAACATGCCTCTGTTTAATTTGGATTGATTCATAATTTGAAAAGCATCCTTCTGTGTGCTTTAGGCACTGCTGGCAAAACTTGAAAGCGTGCATATGAGATGACATGGAAACTGCTGGTATAATCCCCTGAGGTCTGAATTGCCTTCTGTCAGGTGATTCTGTAAATAGATCAACGAGTCCTGCTCACATCGGACAAAGGGAGATTTTTATCTCCAGGAGCTGAATATTCATAAACACCAGCCGCAGAAGTTAAATCCTTAGCCCTGGCTGGGACAAACAGGCTAGGAGTGGATCCATGAAAGATAAATGGGTCCTGGCTTCTGCCAGCTGAAAGATTGCATGTTCTTGGAATTGTTGAATGGAAAAGGATTACATTCCAGTGGAAACAACAACATTGAAACAAGCGACAGTCCTTTGGTTTTTGGTGCACCATGAAAATAAACGCAATGTCCTCCATTCAAATGAACCAGTTGCCGAGTGTCTGAATTTTGATCCCATGACCATGGGGGTGCTGCAGCAGTCACGTGAGAAACGGTCTTAAATCCCATTTTTCAGTGCCCTTGTAACTTCAAACGGTCACTAAATGAACTGTTGTAAGTCGAAGAGTACTTGTCTTTGGATGGGGCACCCTCCCTGTCCCTCTTTTCATAAAGGGCCAGCAAGTTAATTGTTTACAAGAAATGCGTTGAATGCAGACCTGCCTTTTCTTCTCCGCTTGGCTTCCATGGAGAACGATCTGTGAGACTGTCCAGTTTTGATTGCATATTTTGAGTGTCCTTTGATGTCATCGGTGCCCCCATCGGTTCCTCTTCCGCAGAGTGATCCGAGAGGACAGCATAATAGCAGTAGCACTTAGCCTTCATAGTGCTTTAGAGCCCTCTCTAAGCACACCGCTCTCCAAGCAAACGTCACTGGTTCTGTGGGTAGCAATAGCTATAGCACTTACATTTATATCCCACTTCACAGGACCGCACCCTAACCACTGCGCCACCACGGCTCAGTGATGTTAATGTCATAGTGTTGCTTTAGATCACAGATCGCCCCCGGCTTTCCATCGCTCACCCTATCCATTTTTCCCCCTTTCTTCAAATGTCTCTCCAGCTGCGGCTCTCCCATTCAGAAAACAGAATTGCAGCTTCTTTCCTTTTCATCGGGACAGTTGACGGTGTTCCTCCCAGCAGAGGTGAAGTTAATAGGGACGGAATTGGATCGTGTGCTCCCCTTGCAGGAGGCGGCCATGAGGACCCTGTATAACCTATACTGCCAGTCTCTAAAAGGTAGCTGGGTGACGATCGGTTGTCTCAACCTACGACCACAATTGAGCCCAGAATTTATGTCGCTAAGCGAGACAGTTCTTAATTGAGTTTTGCCCCGTTTTTGTTGTGGCCTGCCAGCGGCCAGTGGAGCTGGCGGCAGACTCAGACATTGAGACGGTGGGGGAGGAACATGGGCCGGTCCTGGAATCTGAGGAAGGCTCTGACAAGGGCTCTGCGTCAGAGGCAGAGATGGGGCCGGAGCCATCTGACAATTACCAGCTGCCTTCGGAGTTAGAGATCAGTGGGGCAGAAGAACGGCTGGAGCCTGTTCCCAGTGTGCACACCACAGAGCTGCCTGGAGTTAAGGAACAAGGGTCAACTCGGGAGTAAAGGCTCGGGTGGAGGGGGAATGTCCCCTCCCATAGCAAACAAAGCGGAGCGAAAGGGGAGTGGTGTTTGCAGGAGACAACGAATTCAATTCATTAGAGTGAAGATCTGTTTCTGACTTTTTGCCAAGTAATTGCTGCTACAGCAGGATGTTTGGAAGATATCGGCCTGGCAGCTCTTCCCCATTGACTCTGCTTGTCAGAAGGTCAGAAAAGTTGATCACAGGACACTCCAAGGTTTTTGGAATCGTTTCTGATGCCCTCCTTTCTTTCCTCTCCCAATCCTCTCTAGATTTGAAGTTCATGACTCCGATCTCATTACCTAGAAGCCTTCTGGATTTGCTGCACTGCCCTCTGGGACACTGCCACCGTTGCAGTCAGCCCATGTTCACTATTGTCTACCCAAAGCTCTTCCCCTTGAGAGAGACACCGATGGCTGGATTACATCAGGGGTAATTACAGAGTAAATTACACAGTGGTTTCAGGCTGCACGCGGGGGCTTCAGCTAGAAGAGAAGGCGTTTGCAAAGGCTTTGGGGAGTCTGCTGACAATTTTCCTTACAAATTGAGAAGTGCGTATGTATCGGGGTGTTATTACAACTCAATTAGGAGGTGGGTTTTCCATAAGGCCCATATTCCAAATTGCAGCATTTCACACTGGATATCCAATTGTATTTTTCTTTGCCTGAAAAAATTAAGTAGCAGAGAATGAGCTACGGGGAAGATTCTCTCTTCCTACAGAATAGGGAGAGAACCAGAAGGCAAAGCTGGGAAGAGAATAAAGGCACGCAAAACTTAGCCTCCAGATTTCTAGAGCAGGGGTCTCCCAACTTGGCAACTGTGGTCTTCTACTCCCAGAATTCCCCAGGCAACCTAGAACTTTGAATACACTGCATTCACTCCCCATCACCCAAATCTCCAAGCACAAAAAAACCTGGACTGCCTTCTCAAAGAAGGTTGATGTTTTTGAGAAGCTGAAAGTTGCAGTCCCTGCTGTTTTGTGGTGATCAGACTTGGTGTAAGGAGCTGCCTCAGCTACCTTCACAGGAAAGCCTGACTCTTGAAACAAGTAGTAGTTCCAAAGGATCTATAGACTGTAGAAAGTTAGCACCTACCCTTCTCCTAGAAAAAGGAAATATCCTAGGAAATATTTTAAAAAGGCAGAATATTACACTTCCCTGGATGAAAAAAGGAGAAACATGTTTTTGGAAAGCAACCCCCACCTTTGTTAATAGCCCCAGAAAGACATCTTATCTACAACACAAAAGACCTTCAGCTCCAGGATGGGGAGATTAGCCCTCACTCAGATCCAAACAAGGACAAAGGCCATCATAGGAATTGCCCAAAGCTCCTTCATTACATCACCCAACAAGATTCAACCAAGCTTGGGACTCAAGACAACCTACAAAGTTACCCCTACATGACCTCATGGGAGTCTGATAACCAATCAGGATACATTTCTTTGCTACAGAAACAGGAAGCAAATTCAAGGCCCAAGACAGAGTATAAATCTCTCTCACTCTCCACTCCATGGGGTCAGTTATACCCAGAGTCAGACATGGGCTTGGTGGTTCTGCTTCCCCATTAAACCACCCTTCCAATCAGCCTCCATGTTTCCAGTGTCTTAATTTTTTTCCCAACAGTAAATTCCCATATAAATCACCAAAGACTGTATTCAACTACTTCCCCTATATCCTGAATAAGCTACAGGGAACATACCTTACTATAATATATTACTTTAGCTAAGAATGTGGAAACCTACTTCCACGATAGGATTGGTTGATAAAACTTATTCTGACTATGCTTCTTGGAAGGATAACACTTTTGAATCAAAAAGCACCCAGAGCCTATCTGTAGTGTACAATATTTTCCAATAATTTCAGTGAGCTTTCCATGAAGGCAGAACTTTGAATTTATGAGTCAAAGGCAGAGAGGTTACTAAGGTAAAAGGAATGCCTCTTTAGATGTTTGCCTTTTGGCACTGGTGCAAGCAATATTTGCCCAAGCATTTAAAATTATTTGGCAAGCAAATAGTTGGGTAACTTTGTCTTCAGCGTGGTTGTATTCTTAAGATTCTGTCTTGTGTGCGGTGATTGTTGGCTTTTCCATACGCCACTAAATGACAATATAAATAGGATTTTAATTGCTGATTATTTTTAATTCAGTAATTCCAGTTTTATGTTTGCTTTGTAAGCTATCAATGATGTTGCTTTTACTGATGGGGATATAATTTTAGATTACTTATTAAAACAATTCAAATCTTTCCTTTTTTCCTTTTTAAAACAAACATCTTTGTCTAAAAATTCATATTCCCTTTTCCATCACCACGTGGAAGAAGTCACAACATAGAGCGCATAGATTATTTAGTAGCAAATATGGAAGATTTGTGGGAGCATTGTAAGATTTTTTTTTAATGTTCTTCCTTTAAGAAATTAGAGAAATCTTCCAAATGTTTTCTTGCTAGGTTCAAATCTGCACTAATAAGTAGCTACACCTTTCGGTATGTTGACCGAGGAAGTAAACCTCTTGCTATTTTTGCAAGCTCAAATATTTATACATACTTAATTTACAGGGGCTCAATCAAGTTGTATCCTCTGTCTTAGAGCCAGCATTTTAATTTGAGAAGACAGCCGTTGCCTTTTTGCTCTCTTTTTTATTCATGGGGTTTTTTGTTTTTTTGTTTGTCTTCCAGGAGAACAAGAGTGAGTTTTGTGGCATATTGCTGCTCCACCCAATGTCTGAAGACCTTTGACCTATTGAGCTGATAAATACTTAAAGCTATTCAGGAGCTGTGCCAGCTTCAAAGCAGCAGCATTAGACTGTGGCTCCTGATCGGGCTGGAATTTGTGAGTGTATGTGCCAAAGCAGCGGGAGGCAACATGTCCCGGCTGGAAACACGGAGAACCACCTCCACCTGGCTCCTATCAAATCTGGACAAAAGGCAGAAACTCTCGTGAAAACATTCGTGGTTGTCCAGCTTTAGAAAATATCTAACACCTCCCCAGGGCAGAGGATCAAGCAAGCAAACACGAGAGCGAAGACCCTGCCAGACCCTTTAAAAACTCATACACGTGGCTCAAGTTGCATTTTATACATCGCTTGGGCTGTGTGGGCAATATCAGTTAGTGTGGGATTTTTTTTTAACGATACCTTTGCAGTCCTCGTAGCTTTTTCAATTATTTCCCTGCTTGGTTTCCTGTTACTGCTCTCTTGAGAAGCAACTGTTTCAAATAACCATTTATTCATGCTAGTGAGGTTTTTCCCTACTTCCCATTAAGGGCCTAATGCACATTTTCTTTCTTCCCGCCGCCCCCATCATCTGATGTCTTGATAGGGACTTAAAGATGTACTTGCAGAAAAACTTCTCTGTTGAACCTAATTGGACGCAGTTGGGTAGGTAAAGATAAGTGTTTTCGGCTATTTTTCATATGTGGTTGAAGTCCCAAAGAAAGCAGCATTGGCAGCCACAGAAAGTGGATTTCTCCTTTGTCGGTGACTCTTTATAAAACTTTTTTCACCTTTGATATCGAAGAACTGAATGAGGTTTTTAAAATGCCAGTAGACTTAGAGTAAGTTACAAGTTGTCTTTGGCTTCCCCTCCATATTTTAAATATAAATAGTTTTGTGAATACAGTATTATTAATATTTTATTGTAAGCCTAGGGTCTCCGTGCGTGTTGAACTAAATCCCCTTCCGGTCGTACTCATTGCCTACGGGGGCTGTGCATGGTGGGAGTTGTAGTCCAGCATATCAGGAGAGCACCGCGTTGTAAACGTTTTGTATTGTATGCTCTTTGGAGCCCCTGTTTCCATAACTTTTCTTTTTCCCATCTAAAATCGGAGAAGCTGCAAAAAAAAGGGTTGAAACAAACTCATTTTCCCTACATTATTATGGTGGCGTTTTAAGTTGCGCTCAATAACTTGCAAACTATTTCTGCTCTGGAGGCTGCTTCTTAGAATCTTTATACTTAAAACAGCTCAGAAATCAGCCATTTAACACTTTGGGGAGGGGGGGGGAAGAGGAGGGAGATCAACTCCTAAAGAGTTTACAAATATTTTTCAAAACTTTTGTGGTTCGCATCCTTATCAGGGACAGCTGCTTGCAATTTTGACCTATTGAATTCTTCATGTGTTAATAGCTCGTAATTTGAAAAATTATATATTTTTTAAAAAGTGGCATAGTGGAGAAAGGTTAGCAACAGAATCAACTACATGGCAAGGGTTAATGAGAGAAGATATGTGTTTTTGATGCCAGCAAGAATTGCCCCCTTCCTTTTATGCTTTCACCCTCCTGAAAGATGTCTTAAAAATCAGTTCCATGAAATCCAGGCTAAAATATGCATATTATGAACAATTGGTTGGTAGAATTCTGAACAGTACAGCTATAAAGTCTTTGAGACAGAGCATACCTGTGCCGCGTAAAGCAGCACCTAAACATAATAGCTAAAGGGAAACACGAATCCTTTCACCTGAATTTTCTAAAGTGCAGCAAAAATACAAGTATCTGCCTGCACTTCTTAGCTGTGGTTCTGTGAATCCTAGGTAAGAAATTGCAATCAGATAGGTTTGTATTCTTTTTTCTTTTGATTGTTCCTAGTACAGTAACCGGTAATCACAGTTAAACTGAACAAGGTCAGCACTGAAATCAATCACCTTTCAGTGTAATTTATCCCTTCGCTCCACCCACCTAATCGCTGTCTATTTCCGCCCTGCGCTCGTGTCCCAATTACCCTATTAACAACACTATAATTCTATGGTCTAACCTGGCCTTCCCAAATTTCCAGGAGGCCCGTTTTTTTTGTCCTCCCCGAGCCTCCGGGGGTGCCCTGCATTTACCTTCATCCAAAACGGGTCATGTGGGGACTCCTGGGAGGGGCAGGGTGAGGTGGGCGGGGCCAGGCAGGAGTGGGATTTGGGGGTTCTCCGAACTGCACAGAATCTTAGCTAGAAGGATCTCCCGAACCCCCGTGAACCCCCAGCTACCCACCCCTGCAAAGTAATTAGGCAAACTTTCCCAATCCAGGTGCCCTCCGAGGGAAGGAACAAAACTTTCATATCTGGAAGCTTCCCAGATTGGAGGTTTCTGAAATACGAAACAACAGCTTGTATAATCATCCTCCTTTTCACCTTTCCTTTCGTTTTTTGTTTTTTTTTTAGCAAAGTCGGTGCACAGACACTCTTTGCATCATGGTTTCTTAACCCACAATTCTTGCTCTCTTTTGGGGGAGGAAATGCGAGGGCTGAGGTTGCCGTCCTACCACTCCAGGCCTGGGTCATCGTATCACCAAATGCTTCATTACCCTAAGTAGCTCTAAGGTTGCATTCCCCCCCACCCCACCGTTATTCCATCCATCTCAGCTTCCCTAATTTTAAAGATAAAGTAGCCCAAATGTTTAGTTTGGCTGCCATCACAGCTCTCTGTAATTGCAACCTTCCCAGAATAAAACCAAACCGATCCATCACCTGTTGTGTTTTATGTATGTGCGTGTTGAATTATTAATCCTTGTTCTTTCCTTTCTGCCCGATAGGCCACTAAAAAAAAAAAAAAATAGATGCCCAACAAGGTCAATAAATTGTCTTCCTGTAAAGCTGAAATCAAGTTCATCTCAATTTTGTCTTTCAAAAACACTGAAGCAAATTTATGATTGCCTTTAATCACAGCAGTACTTAATGCTAAATCATAGGTGCTACATGAAGAGTGCCACAAGCAATACGGCGGGAGGAATTTTCAACCTTGGCTCTGTCCATGTCAGTAGAAACTACAGGTAGTCCTTGACTTACAACATTTCATTTAGTGACCGTTTGAAAAAACAACAGCACTGAAAAAAGGGACCTATGACCATTTTTCACACTTAGGACTGTTACAGCAGTCCCCATGGTCACGTGATCTACATTCGGATGCTTGACAACTGACCCACATTTATGACGGTTGCAGTGTCCCGGGGTTACGTGATCCCCTTTTGCAACCTTGTGACAACAGGGAAGCCAGATTCAACTTAACGACCGTGTAACTCATTTAAGAACTGCAGTGATTCGCTTAACAACTGTGGCAAGAACAGTGGTAAAATGGGGTTGTAAAAGTCACTTAACAAATTTCTCATTTGTTAACATTTATTTTGGGCTCAATTGTGGTCGTAAGCTGAGAACTACCTGTGTACTTTCCTCCTAGATCAATTTCTGGGCATATTCCTAATCTGTAGTTTGCCTCGTGTTATACATGAGTGTTTTCTGCTGGTAGCATCCGTAATGCTGGTGGTTCTCGTCTATTTAAGGCGTGAAGCTTCAGGGTCTGCAGTGGGATGTTTCTTATTGATCTATATCTATGAGCCGTGGAGGCGCAGTGGTTAGAGTGCGGTACTGCAGGCTACTTCTGCTGACTGCCGGCTGCCTGCAATTTGGCAGTTCAAATCTCACCAGGTTTAAGGTTGACTCAGCCTTCTATCCTTCTGAGGTGGGTAAAATGAGAACGCAGATGGTTGGGGGCAATAGGCTGACTCTGTAAAACCACTTAGAGCACTATAAACCACTTAAAGCACTATAAAGTGGTATATAAGTCTTAAGTGCGAATGCTATTGATGTCAGTGATCCCCAACCTTTTGGGCATCAGAGACCAGTGTCATGGAAGACAATTTTTCCACGGACCCGGAGGTGGGAGAAGAGCGTGCAACCTAGATTCTTCACGTGCAGTTTACAATAAGGTTTGCTCTCCTATGAGAATCTAATGTCTAATGAGCTCAGGTGGAGCTGAGTTGGTGCTGTCACTGCTAGAGGTTTGAAACACAGATGAAGTCTTGCTTGCTCCCCCACTGCTCACCTCTCGTTGTGTGGCCTAGGCCCTAACTGGCCACAGTCTGGTATTGGTCGATAGCCCCAGGATTGTGGACCCCTGATCGATGATAGGCTTTAGCTGGAATAAATAGTTTGGGAAACATTGTGGTGGCGATTTGCAAAAAAAAAAATTTTTTAGTAAATAATAAATTGATCTTTTTTAAACCTGACACAGAAGTCTTGGACTACTTAGCGTGATTTTTGATGTCTACAACATCTGGAGGATGTGTGGCTGGAGAAGAGCTGTGCAAAAGAATTTAGGAAACAAGCCTCTTTTTCTTCGCAGAAGGTGAGTCTTTAATTTGGAATTAGCTAAATGTTTTCCGTTTTCATTTCCAACAAATTAAATTGAAGTTTATCCTCCAAATCAACATTGGTTAAAAAGAAGAAGCAGGAAATACAAGGAGCTTGGTGTAGCTAACCAAAAACACTATAGGGCATTCCAAAAAAAAGGCGAATGCCAATTTTTGCCCCGCTTCCTCCTTTTGATATCGTCCTTAAAAGCGTGGATGATGAAAAGCTCTCAAAATCTTGGTGTCTTTATGACACCAATGAAGGTGTGAGCAATGATTAATGCCAGCAGCCAGGACTTTTCAGAAGTTTCATTAAAGTCATTAGAGCTTAATACCTCCTCTGAAGTTGAAATGAAAGGCATAAGCAGCTTAAGGGGGTTCGGATGATTCAGAGCTGGGCTTGTCCTTCAGGCAAGATGAAGGTGCAAGACCTCCTTTTGATTTTGATTTTGTTCCAGCATGAGATTTTAGCCAAAAGCTGAGCTAGCAGCAAGGGTAGAAAATGACTCCAGGCCTGGAGGTTTGTGATTTGTGTCTGTGGTTCAGTGGTAATAACTCCTATGTTATTAAGCTGCTTGATCCTGGAAGAGGCATCCATGACTGTAGTGATAGCGATGGTGATCGATAGATATATTGGTGAGATATTAAGGAAGATAGATATTGATAAGAGAGAGCTGGAATATTGATTAAATAGATATTGATGAGATGGTAGATAGGATGGATGGATAGATGGATGATATGAAATATTGAGAGAAGAGATATTTTGAGAGAGAGATGAGGTAGATATTGAGGTATTGAGAGAAGGGATACTGATATAGATAGAAAGAAATCATAGATAGAAGATAGATAGATAGATAGATAGATAGATAGATAGATAGATAGATAGATAGAT